GTTGGTCCAGGCACAGGTACTCTGGACCTCACAGGGGTGCATGAGCCATGCCACGGGCACACCAGCCCAGGATGGGCTGCATCAGCTCAGGCACAGGGGCTTTGGACAACCCAGGGGTGGGGGGATGTGGCATTAGTGCCCGGCCCAGACAGGGGTACATGGACCCCCACACAGGTGCATTGGCCGTGGCATTGGTGCCCATGCCCAGGTACGGGTACATTGGCCAGCATATGGGTGCAGTAGGGATTAGTGCAGCCACCTAGACGTGTGCTCCCAGGCATTGTCAGGAGCAACTAGCCATCATCTGTTTTCCCAGTGGTCTTTTCCACCTTTGGCAGGTGTTTGAAAGAGGAACAGGGATGTTGTTCTGCTTTAATTTGTGAGCAGCAGTGCTTTGAGATGGGAGTGTGGGCTGTTACCTCACTGCAGACTCCTCTCACCCTGCCAGGGTTAGATCCTTTGACCTGGTGAAGACACCCAAGAGGGACTTGCCTGTACAAAACATGCTCCTTGTTACACTTGCCACATGGGACCAGGTGTTTTTTTGTACTGGGTTACAGCATCCTGAGATGCTTTTGGCATGTGCCAGGTGCTAACAGTCCTGACGGTGGTGCAAGAGTAATGCCTGAGGATGTGGCCTAGAAACCTCTGTGGCGGCCCTCCTGCACAGGGGAAAATTCCACTGGCAGCTGATGCTCTGTGGCCAGGTATGATATCAGGATGATCACAGTCTGACCCTATCATCAGCGGTGGCCTCGTGTGTACGGAAATGCCCCTGAGACAGAGCGGTGGCAGCTCTGTGCTGTGCAAGTGTAAATCTTAAATTAATTCAGACAGTGGAGTCTCGTCTGCTGTGCTCAGAAGGGATCAAAGTGGCTTTGCAGAAATCCTGCTCTTAGCATTTTGCAGGGTACTTCTTGCGCTCCTGAGAGTGTGAAGAGAAAGACAACCCTTTTCCACAACAGCTTCTAGAGATTTGACTTTTATTTTGTCTCACATTGTACTGGAAGCAAAAAACCTTTTAATATATTCCTGAAACAAGCGGTGTCCAAAAGTCCATTTGCAGATGGGAAACCAGTTATCAGTGCCTTTTAAGCACTCCTTCTGCCTCTGGAAGTATAAGTGTCTCCTGCCGACATCAGAAACCCAACCGTTGAAAATTTGTTCAGAAGCAGTGAGTTACTTCAGTGTGGAAAAAATGATTCACTGAAATGTTCTGAAATCACCAGCCCAGGCGTGGCTACAAACCACCAGCTTTGGCTGCGCAAGCACAAAATGGAAGTCCAGGCCTTGCAAACACTCTAGAACACTCTGCTTCCATTCATTCGTTATATATGCCATTTATATCCTAGACCTGAATTAATAAGTAGGTTTCTGTGACTTCAGCACACTTCTGTCTCCTTCTGCTCACAGTTTGTGGTTTCTCTCAAATGTGATCAAATTATTTTGACAAGTGTCTCAGCTTGTACTTGTGGTGAGGATTCCTACCTTCTCTTAAATCATGATTTGCTACATGGTGCTGTTTCTGTTCCTTGTGGAAGGGCAAATGGAAGAGCAGCAACATCCTTCCCTCCATGCTGCCCACGGTCCCCTAGCCCAAATGAGGGTTTCTCCTCACCCAGAAGCAGGCTGAGAGGATGCCTTTGGCTGCAGTGGGACATCCCCCTGCCTGCCCCACAGCCTCAGCCCCAGGGGGATTTTGATGGGGGCAGCAGGTCTCAGGGATGCATGTGGATATGGATTGTTGTGTGGTGAGATACAGGACATCAAACTGCGGGAGAGCACGTGCCTTGTTCTGCTTCTCAGTGAACAGCTTGCTTAAAGGCTTGAGTTTCCAGATGGAGGTGGACAGGGAATGTTGGGGATTATGTGAAAGTTAGATACTTTCCTGAGGAATCCCCTTGCTTCCTATGGGCTGACAGCAGCAGTAAATAAGCTGTTGTTTGATGTGGGTGTTCATCCAAACTCAGACTTGCAATTCCTCAGATAAATAGCTGCCTCTGACTTCCTGGAACAGATAGGATGGATTTGGCTAACCTGTCTTAATGTCACTTGTTTCATTTTCTGATGAGTTGTTTTCACAGTGCAAGCTTGTTCCAGTCCTACTGAAGTTACTGATCATCAGCCCATTAGTTTCCTTGGTCTTTGGACCACAGCATAGTTTAAAATGAATGAACAGACCATGTCATTTGGGAATGAGAATTTGGTGGTGTTGGGCTGTGACAGAGTATATATAGAGTTTCCTGGTGTTTTTAGTCAGTGAACGTGACAAGATGATGCAAAGGGTGGAGGATCACAACATTTGATTCAGAAGTTGGGAAATTCAGAATCAGGTGTCAGGCTCCATCTCTTGTGGAGTAAAAGTTGGACAATACTCCAGATGTGTCTGGGCAATACCCTAGGCATGCGCTTGAGTAATCTCTGGACAGTGAAAGCTCTCTGCACATCACCGCAGCTGTAATGACATTGTAAATAACCCTGTGCCACCAGGAACGTGGTAAGGAGTGAAGAAGTCATCTACGACTGCTGTTCAAACACACCTGAGGTAGGGGTGACACACACCACAGCGGCAAAGGGACAGGGACACCATACCTCTGTGGGAATTCCAATGCTGAAGCCAGGACAGTACTTTATAATGCCCCAGATCACTGCTTGCTTTGAAGGAGGCTCTCAGAGAACCAGGTACAGCCCGGTGCTCAAGTGGTGGTCTTCTCTCTGAATGTGAAACCTCCGTAGGTAGCAACAGCCTGAGCTCCCGTCCAGCCCTGCCTTCACATTCCCTTTCTGTCTTGTTTCAATTTCTTTTCTAAGGCCAAATTTTCAGTCATAACAACTGCACCAGCAAACGCTCCAGCTCTTTCTGTCCCTGGCACACCTCTGGTAACCGAGCCAGTGCCATTACCCAATCTGCCTGTGTAATTGCAGTGTTTTGTGTCATGTGCAATCTCCTTTTTATCACATTAATTGCTGCTTATTTGAAGGCATAATAACCTTCATTTTGCAATGAATGGCTTGACATTCCAGGAGGAAAGCTTATTGTACACTAATGATCTGTTATATGGCCTCTCAGTTTATTATGGTATGTAATGGAAAATAAAATAAAAATTAAATATTGTGTGTACTTATCAGCTAATTTAAATACTTCAGAATCTCGGATGTTATATCTTTTCAGCTATTGAACAGTGCTGTAATTTGCATTAAGAAATAGCTCCCTATAGATTTAAAAACAACTCCTTATATTTTTTTTTTTAACTAAGTTGGTTTTGCTTGGAAGAAATGCCATCTAGGAATTTAAAAATGCTGAATTTATTCAAGAAGGATAGTTTCTCTTCCTGCCTTTCTTGCCTCAGTTATTTATCTGCCCTGTGAAAATAACTGAGCCTTCACTGAGTCATGTTATGTTATTTGGAGAACACTTTTGAGATGCTTGTTGGGAAGATGCATTGCAACTGGAAAATATTGTGTATTTATTACAAGGAAAAGTCCTGGCAAAGCAGAACTGAGTCACTTTGGTCAGTTTGTAATTTGCAGACAGTTTTGCTGGATTGCAGTGACTTTTTACATGAGGAAGATGTGCCTGTCAGAGTTCTCGTAGTGAGAAGACAATGAACCACGTGAACTTGATTCAGTCCTCAGGCAGATTTTCGAGGCTGCACCTTCCGTAGACTCGGGTTGTGCTGCAGCCGCTGCCAGTGGACCTTGCCTGAGTTTTGGCCATTTGGTGCTCATTGTCTGAAATCCTGTAGCCTGAGCATCCCTCACAGAACTTGGGGTCCAGTGTCATGATCATAAGATTCATTTCACCATATCTTATCAGGTATATAAAGTGTCTGTAGGCAAATATCCACCAGCAAAGGCAACCAGACCCGAGCAAGGCTGGTGTCTGCAGTGATAGCATCCCAGGGCTGGGTGCACTGTGTGGTACACAGGATGTGTCCTTCTCTCTTCCTACGTTTTCTCATCCTGCTCCTTCCAACCTGTGAATCACCTCTGTGTTTGAGGTGCATGTCTGGATTGTGGGATGACGAGTTACGGAATTCACAGGCTTTCACCCCAACGACCTTTCCTGTTCCCTCCTCAGCCTGGAGATGCAAGACCTGAATCTTCTTAGCTAACTCCTTGGTTGCACTGCTGTGTTGTAGTGAATTTGCTTGTTACTTCATGGATAAAGTCAGAGCATCCAAGATAGAAAAGTCTCTGTTTCCCCAGCACAGTCTACTAGGGTGATGTAGCAAGATATATGTCCTTGCTGGTTTTCTTCTGTTAGTGCTGTGGTTGGAATAAATGAGTAACAGCATGAGGAAGCCAGCTTTCACCAGGAATATTAAAGATCATTTCCGTGAATGCTGAGATAAACCCCCTTTATAAGATCCTTTCCCCTGTTAATATATCTTCAGAATAAACCACAACATATGTTGCAATTAAGGTGAAATTTCTCCAATTAATATTTCTGCTCAGCTGTTTCAAATGTGGTCCAAGAAATAGCTTGAGGCCTTTTCTTTCTCCCTGTAGGAATGTTCTCCATATGCAGCTCACTTGTATGATGCTGAGGATCCCTCCACCCCCATGCGGACGATACCAGGACTTTGCCAGGACTATTGCCGGCAAGTGTGGCAAAAATGCCGCTCCATTTTTCGCCATCTCTCTGCAGACCAGGAGTTAATTGCACTGGAGAACAACATGGCAAAATTCTGCCGCTACCTGTCCTTGGAGGACACAGACTACTGCTTTCCACACCTTCTGGAGAACCAGCACCTTAACCAAAACCTGGGGTTGGTGACCGCCGACGCCGAGGGCTGTCTCCAGCTCTGCCTCGTGGAGGTCGCCAACGGGCTGCGCAATCCCGTTGCGATGGTGCACGCCAACGATGGCACCCACAGGTTCTTCATTGCGGAGCAGGTTGGCCTGGTGTGGACCTACCTCCCCGACCGTTCCAGGCTGGAAAAGCCATTTCTGAACATCAGCGAAGCTGTACTTACCTCACCTTGGGAAGGAGACGAGAGGGGTTTTCTAGGTATTGTCTTCCATCCTAAATTCAAATTTAATGGTAAAGTTTATGTCTACTATTCAATTGAAGTTCATTATGAAGAGAGAATCCGAATCAGTGAGTTCAGAATTTCTCCTGCTGACATGAATGCTTTGGACCATGGTTCTGAAAGGTATTGTACACACATTTCTCTGGCAAATGTATTTAAGATCTCAGAGGGCAGCTTGTGCATTTTTAAAGGCTATTAATGAATGAGACTTCCTTAGCTTACTATTGTCCTTGCATTCCAGTGTGGTAGCAAGTTAGTTCAAGTCTGTATCTCGTGTACTGAGACAGTGAATATGCCTGTCCTCCGTGGGTGAACTGCAGGTGCTCAGGGATAAAACATTTACATTTCTCAGTTCTGCTATGTCAGAAGATTTAACTGAACATTGATTAAACCTTATTTACGGTTAGTATTTTGGGGTTTGTTTTTTGTTTGTTTGGGGGGCTTTTTTGATACTGTAATTATTACCCTTGAAAATAGACTTGTGCAAAGCATGAGTGAAATTCATTCCGAAGCAAAAGGTTTCCAGAATCAGTATAAACAAACTCTGATACCAGACCAAAGATGGATTTGGCCCTACTTTTCTTTATCTGAATGACAGCTCAACCCTGTGATATTACAAATTTAATATCAAATTAAATAAAAGGCAAATGACTGTGCTATTACTGAGTGCATTTTGATTGGAAATTTCATTTGTTTGAGTCTGATCCTGCAGTTGATCCACATTAATATGCACAGATACTGAGAGGTTTGTTTGTGGAGTCAGTCTATAGATTTATAACCTATTGCAGAACCATATAATAGAACCACTGTTTTAAGAGACCCTTGAATACTATTAACGTTAAGTATTTTTGCTTTATTACCTGGGTTATATCCACAGCAGTGGATGATTCTAGCTCAAAAATGCACGTAGCCTAGTGATAGAAAGGGGATGCTGGTTTGTAACACAATTACAACAATTCAGTGTAACCAGCACTGTAGGTGACAGGTCAGGGGAATTTAAACGTGGTCCTCAGGGAAGCAAGTCAGGAACTTAAACCTGCAGATGACAGGGCCCATGAGCTCTCTTGTTTAAAAATCCTCAGGCTCTACACTTGTAACATTTTCTGTGCTTATTTAGCTGGTGGTTAATACAGTGAAAGCTTAAGAAAGGAAAATTGTGGTCCTGTTGTGCTTGTGTAGGCACAGCTCCCACTGACTTCATCCAAGAGGGAGCCCAGGCTGACACGTGGTGTGTGTTGCCTTAGCAGGGAGGTGTACATCTGTTTGTCCACAGATTTTTGCTCAACATGCTTTGTTTTCTTCTGTCTTCTTTGGGAGGCACCTTTGTGTCTGTACAGGATCCTCCCTCGCTCCCGCTGTCGACTGGAGTCTGTGGGCTCATGCAGTTACCTCATCTCAGAGGTGGTGGCATTTAATGGCAGGTGACAGAATAATTACAGAGTTGGGTTCCTTGCCATGATTTACAATCTGATCACAAATTATCAGTGCTTTCAGAAAGGAAAAAAAACTCACTAAAAATGAGGTGATATAAGTGATTGTTATAATTTGTTTTTGCAGCTATTAAGAGGCACTGTCAGCATGAAATCTGGGCTTTTTTAGAAGCTGGAGTAAAATAAACTTCAGTTATTACACCTGGGAATCTCCACTGCATGTATTTGTGGCTTTACCTTGCTTTATAGATACTTGTGTATATTTCACCCTTTTCTTACTACTAAAGGGATGCCAGGTGCATAAAATAAACAGATAAAAGTAAGAGAGAGTTAGGTTTTAAGATGAAGGTAAAGGTTGTTGGTACTGCTTTGAATAACCTTTGTCAAAATGTTAGTTTGTTGGTGGGGCTGCTTGTAACCACTCTTTAAGCTGGTAACATCCTGTGTGTGTAATAATCATTTAAGGATTCTTCTCTCTTTAAGGATTTAACTATTACTTAATGTTAGAAAAGTTGTAGGTTTGCCTTGAAAGAGCCTGTCAGGATTGTGCCAAATGCTGTACAGATTCACGGATGGACTGGAGTCCTTTATCTTGCAGTTTACAATCATATTTGAGCTGAGAAGCCTTTCTTTTAAAAAAGAAGAAAAAAAAAAGAAAAAAAAAGTTTAACAAAGAGGAAGGAAGAATCAGAGGAGAAGTATAATTAGTGAAAAGTATATTCTGACGTGATTTCCAAAATTTTTTTTACTACACAATTTGGTGTTTCTGTAATCTGGAAAATATGTTGGAATTATTTAAGGTTAGAAAATCAGTTATGCCCAAGCAAAATTCAGTAACGTGGATATGGAGGAATTTGCATCAAAACGGATCCGTAGCCATTTCCATGTGTCAAGGGCAACATTGGAATGAGATTGCTCTGCCCTTTGCTTAGGGCTTGTGTAGTAGATAATGCCTCCTCCCTGTTTGTGCTTAGGATAATCCTGGAAATAGAAGAACCTGCTTCCAACCATAATGGAGGAGAGCTGCTCTTTGGAGATGACGGGTATCTCTATATATTTACCGGTGACGGTGGCATGGCTGGGGATCCTTTTGGGACCTTTGGAAATGCCCAGAACAAGTGAGAGCCCCTAAAACATTTTGTGTGCTGTGTGTGCCTCCTGTTGCCCTTGGGTTGAGAAGAGAAACTGGGGGAGGTAGATTGGGGGGGATTTTCTATCTTGGGTTTACTTTTCCCTATTGCCCGCACTGGTGCTTGTGTGCACATGTGGGCACGTGGACCTCCCATGTAACTCCAGTTTCCTTAGGGAAGGTTTTTGAGGTGTGTGTTTTTTCCCTGTGAGCAGCATTAACTCACTGAGCCTTCCAACTGTCTGCTTGGAGACCAGTTTTCTGCAGGGGGAGATGGGGTGTGTGATATGGGAAGAGTGGGCCCATCCCTATGGCAGCTCCAAGCTGCTGGTGTGCATCTGTGGGCAGTGGGTCGTGGGAAGTCAGTGCCACCTGAAGGCTGTTCAGTGGCCTGGAACAAATGAAATGGTCTTGAAATGTAAAGGATTGCTTTTTTTCAGAGATATTGAAAGATTTGTCTTTTCCAAACCGGAAAGAATGAAACCCTAGACTTTCAAAAAAACCCCATCTCTGACGTGTAATTGAGGTCTGGTTTTATTTTATTTTATTTTTTATTTCTTTCCTTTCTTCTCCCAATGCAGATCAACCCTGCTGGGCAAAGTGCTGCGGATTGATGTGAACAACAACGACCGTGGGCCTCTGTACCGAATCCCTCCCGACAACCCTTTCCTCAACGACCCCGAGGCTCGCCCCGAAGTCTACGCCTACGGAGTGAGAAATATGTGGCGCTGCTCTTTCGACAGGGGCGAACCTCAAACCAAGGAAGGGAAAGGGCGGCTCTTCTGTGGAGATGTGGGGCAGAATAAATACGAAGAAATCGACATTGTTGAGAAAGGGAAAAACTATGGCTGGAGGGCGAGGGAAGGCTTCAGCTGTTATGATAAAAAACTTTGCACCAATTCTTCAATGGGTAAAGAGATGTTCTCTCTAAATTACTGATCTCACACCATGCAGTTTTCTGCACCACAGTTTTTAATTCCTGCCTTCAAAGCCTGGCTGCCTGGTGGAAAACACACATTTTTGCGTTGTAAATCTATACTGTCTCAGCCTCAAAGAAAACTGACTTGGGGATAAATATTGAAAGCCCAAATGTTAGCATTTTTTAGTTAGGAGGAAAATGAAACATGCTAGCTGTTGTTTTTCTAGGTGATCTGTGTTGTTAGTAAAATTGCTTGGTGATGCTCTGATTTAGTGGGACAATTTCATCTTTTCTGCATAAAATAAGCTTTCCTGCAGAAGCAAGAAAAATTTGGAGAAATTGTATTTTTCTCCATAACTCACAAGTAGTGTTTTATTAAAAAAAAAGAAATAAATATATTGTGTGAGCTGGTCAAGCAGTATGCAGACTGCCTGCTTTGCAGGTAACTGCATGTGTAGTGTTTTTTTGTTTCTTTTAGCTATGCCAAAAAAGAAAACCTTAATTTTTTTTTTAATTAAAAAAAACCAAAAAACTTTTCAAACCTGGATTCAGGGCATTCACTGGCTGGCTAAATTCCAGTGCATGTGTGAAGTCAGAGTGTATTGTGTTGCAAGGTCTGATGTGGAGCACATCTTGTGCTGGAGCATCTCCCCAGAGATCCAGGGGGGCAGTGGGCTGGCACTGACTTGCACTAGCTGAGATTCTGATGTTTTTCAATTCTGTGTGCTATGTGGTGGTGTTTAACTTCCTTCCTTTTGTTAACTTAGTTTAACTTCCTTCCTTTTATTAACTTAGCTACAAGTGCAGTGGTAGTGATTAAGTGTTTTTTATAAAAATTCCAAGAGCAGGGAGCAGATTTTTTGCACTCCCTTTGCTGAAGCACTTGTCAGAGCCCATTTAGTGCTCTCCTGCGTGACAGCGCCTGCATGAGCATTCATACCAAGCACTTTACTGAGGTCTCCAGGGATTCAGAATAATTTCTGTTGCCTTTAGAGACCCTTTTGTTAGAACACTGAAATGTCACAGCCCCTTTAAAATTGTAAGTACAGCTGAAATGAAGAAAACACCTGCTTTAGATTAAATGGCCTTGGTGCAAGTATCCTGTTGGCAGAGCTGCTGGGCTTGCTACTTGAGGCATCTGCTGCATGGCCAGGGAGAAAGGCTGTGAGGATGAGGAGGGGTGGATACCATGAGGAGATACCTGCAACCCAGGAGTTTCAAGAGAAAGGGGAGGAAGCATCTAATGGAGACCCTCAGAATCAGGTTTTGCTACCGTCTTGTGTTTTAACTTATATTTTACAATGAATATGCCAGTACTGCATCTTGCCTGTGTTGTGCCATATTTGATGGCCCTTTTGGGTTAGGCTCCCCTATTTCAGAGAAACATAAGCTATTTGTACTGACATCTGACATATCTTTTCATCCATGCCTGCAGTCTCTTTTTTCCCTTTCACCGCTGAAACAAAGCTGTGTTGGGCAAACATCTCCTGCATGGGTGCAGTGACTCTAGGAGTAACCTGCAAATTCATAGCAAAACCAGCCAGGTTGTGTAGAAATGGGCTAGAAGCAGCACTAACAGAGCTGGGTTGTAGCAGGAGGAGAGTGGTGAGGTGTCTGGGTGATACAGAGCACTCGGGCTTATCAGGGATTCAGCTTAAACTGCAAATGAAACAGCAGCCAGTCTCTCTGAGCTAGGTTGTCCTTGGTGAGCACCACCAGCTAGACAGGGCTATCGACTGTGGTTCAGAAAAGGTGAAAATTCAACTAACTATGATTCCATCGGCAGTTCATTTAATAAAGATGTGTTGTGCTAGTCTCAGAGCTATGTAGATAAACAGCTATTCTGCATCATGTGTAAAACAAGGCAAGTCACAGATCTTTTCTCCCCTACAGATGATGTGCTTCCAATTTATGCATATCCACACAAAATGGGGAAATCTGTTACGGGAGGCTACGTCTATCGGGGCTGTGAGTCTCCAAACTTGAATGGCCTGTACATATTTGGTGATTTTATGAGTGGGTAAGTAAATACTTCAGGGACTCACTCACTAAGCTGTACCCCCAGCCAAAGTCCTCCAGTGATACTACACCTGCCTGCAAGTGCTCGTGCAGTCTGAGGATGTGCTGCTGCTTGCTGGATGCAAGCACTGCACAGGCTCTGACTGCTCATTACAGAGAGCTCACATGGCATGTTTTATGTAACCTTTATTCCATGGTGCTGTGCAGGAAT